CTCAAAGCAGATGCACTTCCAGGCTTCTTTTCACTTACTCTGATTACAGCAGGTAATGAACACCAGGAATACGTGATATTAGAAAGTGACAGTTGCTACCCTTCAGTTATCCATCCTAATTACCTCCTGTGAATCTTCACCCATCATAGTCAAACCTCCACCCAACCTTCTGGATGGCTACACTGCACCTGCACATTACACAAGGCTACCACCACTCACAGCAATACCCTTCTCCACTTGCTTCCTTTCATTAACTAGAAGGTAGGTTGGAGTGGAGATCCAGATGAGGCATCTTACTGCTGATGAGCCACTCTGCCTTATTCTGGAGATTTTCACATATAAAGAATATATTTGCCACCTTTTGTGTGACCTAGGAGTAAAGGCTGAGAGCGCTGTGACTGGGCTAAGGTGTCATCTAGTAGCAGCCTTAAAATACTTGAAGGAGAGTTTAAAGACAATAACAGTGTGTTCCTCTATGGAAATAGATATTTCAGGGGAAAACAGCATTGGACTGTGGCTTAGGAGGTTCAGGTAGGACATTGGAGGAGGGACCACTAAGGGACACTGCAAGAACTTGTCCAGAGAGTCTGTGAGGTCTCTATATATGAAGGTTTCTAAGACTCACTTAAGTAAAGCCACAGCTGACCTGAGTTAGTTAGCATTAGCAACAGTCCTGCTCCATGCAAGAGACGGGGCAAGATGGTATCCGGAGGCCCCCTTCAACCAGCATTTCTACAATTATTTACTGAGTGGAACATTCATCATTGCAAGAAGCTCTGAGCAAACCAGAAATTGCCTACTTCAATTTTAACCTAATAGTTATTACTTACTGATCACGTGTTATAAAGGAAAGAAGGACTGCATATGAGATTTGCAATCTAAGCATCTGACCACTTTGGAGCATTTAATATTTAATTAAATTAACACAATTTCAGTACATTACTGTGCTGTTTTACATTCATGTTAACGTTTACGCACATAGAAACTTTGCAGCATTACAGAAACTGCTGTGCAGCTTCTGAACTCTTGATATCACACAACATATTAGGTTTTTTAGAAAAAGCTGCTTCTGGTAAAGGTCTGGAAACTTATCTGAAGTGGCAATTCCAGGACTAGGATATTGTTACTGAGACCTGATAAGCAAAATTGTGGTGAACCAACATCCCAAGAAAGTAAAATATTAAAACAGCTTTACAGATAAGTCACAACATAAAATAAACAACCCCATTTTTTCCTGCCTTTCCACATTTAGAAAGGAAACTATGCCCAGGATGCTGAGATGATGGCAGAAAAAAAAAGGCAAACTCTACTTGCTAGCACATGATCATAGGACTGAGCTAACACTATAAACCTCTAGGGAAAAGGGGAAGAAATGGCTGGACCAGCAGTTAATGCCAGTGGGAACAAACCAGCACTGCTGAATTTCGCTGTTAGCACAGTGACTGAACTTTTGTGGCATTTGCCTTCAGCCTTGAGAGAAGGACTAAGTCACTCATCAACAGAAGAGTCACAGCTCTGGGTCACTCTTCCCCATCTTACAAATAAAGGATGTACTTCAGAGAGCAAAAGTTTTGAATATTCATTTTGCCCAAGTGTGGCTCCTGTATGGAGGAAACTATCACAAGTTTAACCACTTAAAAACTGATCATAAACACTCTCTGCATCCTGACTTCTAAAAGAGATCTTATTTTAAGGCAGAGGCAATGAAAAATCAGATTCTTTCATGACACCCAGCGCAACAAATGGCTTTTGTTTAAGAACAAAAGTAAATATCCAATCCTTTCTAAATACCATTAAGCACCCAGAGGGGTTATTACAAGCAAAAGCTCAGAGTAGTGGAGTTGCTACAGCCTGTTTAATCACATTGCCTTTGGGAGTGTCACACTGCAGATTTGAACAATAAGTCAAGGAAGTCTGTGTGCCATGTGTCTACTATTTTTATGCATGGCAGAAAAGGATACAAGGTCAACACGCCCTGCAGAGAATAATTCAACTTCTCAGTGAATGGAAAAACTGTCTTAGTGTGCCTTGCCCAGGAGAGGGCAATCCTTCTTCACAAGCTTTATAGGGGGAATTTGAGCAAATTAAATGAAGAACAAAGGAACAGGTGTTTGATTAAAACAGAGGGCTGTACAGTAATGTTTGTTTGTAGTCTCCTCAAGTTGCAGGATCAGAAGCAAAAAATGTGAGGAACTTTTTTCAGGGAGACCTGAAACCATCAAGAGGTGACTCTTAACTGCTTCTGTTCTAGTGCTAGCACCTTTGGGTCTCCTCCCTTTGATTACCATGTTTTCCAAATAACTTAATCAGAATCCAAATAACTTTGCCTTCTTGCAAAGCCTAGGGGGAAGATGATGGGGTTTTCTTTTGAAAACCTGGTATTTTGACTCCTAGAGAGACAGCAAAGAGATTGGTCAGGAGCAGTCAAGTTATCCATATGAGCTACTGAGATAGCAAAGCAGCAATTATCACTATCTCAAAAGAACAGTATTCTGAAATTACGTTTATCAACAAGGGCTGCCCCCAGCTGTAATCCTGGGATGGATCTCTGAGATGACAAAAGTTCTGCTGAGCATGAGCTAAAAACAAACTAATGTCAACTCCTGCTGAGGCAATTTGAGCCCTCTGACTTGTCAACTAGCAAACCTCATCTCTGGCTCCTAGAAGTCAAAGCTGAGGTTTGTTAAAAATGCTACAATGCAGCAGCAAAATGAGTGAAGGGCGTGTAAATAGGGCACATAAATGGGGCTCCCTGACACAGTACATGCAATCACTTCATCAACCTCCTTAGATATGTGACTCCACCTGAGGGCAAGATTAAGAAAGTTACAGCTGCATTTGCCTTCTGTTGTGTGTGTGTTTTCAAGAAGTAGTAGAAAGAGCCAACTTAAAAGGCCAAACCAGCAATCAACTGCAGCCTGCCAAATTGAAAGGGATGAAACTCCTGTAAAATAGCCTGAGACGGATAATCTAACTAAAAGAAAGATGCCATTTATACTTAGAGGCACCTCACCCTGCAGCACTGTAGTTAAAGCTCACCACTGTCTCAAACAGCTCTGAAAATGTACATTGTTCAAGGAGAACGACTTGAAAACTTGAAAACTGTGTTATTAATGTTCTGGGATAAACTGAACAAAGGCACTTGGGGACTATATGAAGAGTCTCACAATAAAGCTCCTGAAAGTTACCTTATTTTACGTGTTTTAGTACTTTCAAGTTTTGGCCAATGCTGGGAAGTATACAGATTCAGATAAGGATGAAGGTAATGCCTCCAGGCAGCCTTTAAGGATATTTGGTGCTCTCAAGAACAAACTCTGAAATGCAAGATTTCAAAGCCCACTGGTGTTCATGGAGAAGCAGCATCAAACTGAAAATGCAAGTCGACCGTAGTTTTACTGCCACAGTTCTTTAACTCTCTCTATGTTTTGCTACAGAATATAAGCACAGCTAAGTGGGTTTCCAATATCAGGGTCTCAGATTCAGATATTAATCTTTAAATTATCTGAAAACATTACCAAAAAAATTTCTGACTTCCTTTTCTTTTGTTTTCATCCAAGACTCTCTCCCAACTGGCCTTCTGTACTATGCATTTCATGTACAATAATAGTTCCTGCAGACTAACATTTCCAGCAGCATGCCTCCTCTTGAAATCTTCTATTCCCTAGGTTTCCAAAAATCTGCCATTCTCTAACTGCTCCTACATGTATCATTTGAAGTCTTCCCTGCTCCTCTTTCATAATTTCTTAGCTTCAATTAAACTAAAGGTTCTGTCCTCAACTCTCTTCTCCCCAGTCTCCAGTCTCCAAATAACTCAGGTATCGTTCCCTGGGATGACTAAAATATTCTTATGCTCCAGGCTCTGATTCCTAATGTCTGACCATGAGCTCAAATGTAGGAAGGCTAGACTACATTTTTCATGTTTTCCTCAAGTTTTTTTCCCCTACACTCCTCATCTTCCTCGCTCTTTGACTGCCACCATCTCACCCGTCTTCAGATCTGTAATACTTGGCTTACTCAACCTGGAATCTCCCTTGATCTTCAAAATAGAGATTATGACAGCATCATGCCAAGTCTTTGTTTGTCATCCAAAATACTGTTTTCACATCCATCTGCCCAACTAAAACTCTTGTTCAGATTCTTATTTCACAGCTTGTTTACTGCAATATCCTTTGCCTCCTACCACTGTGGGCTTGTTCAAGTAAAAAATGGCATTTTTAGGTGATACAGTGCACAGCACAACTGGCTCCTGTTCCACAACCAGCATTTCCTAATATGAAGGTAATAAATTAGTAACTGTAGTAATATCTGATCCTGATTTTGTTACTGCTAACCTAAAGAGCATCAGCATATCAACAAACCATCAACTAAATGAATCTGAAAAAAAAAACTTGCAAGATGCCAAAAAATACCAGTCAATACAGTGACACTTACAAAATTACTTTTTGAGCTTGAAGAAACACTGCTGTAAACATAAGAAGCAAACAAACAAACAATATGTGAATAAAACAAATACCTGATAGTCTGAGGTCATAATAAGTCCACCTGAGGTAGTGGTAGGAGGAACAACTCTCACTTTTTTCAGTGGGGGTCCCTGTGCGTGACTGTTGTCTTGGTTCCCTGGATGACCAGTTCCATTAGTATGGTTATTGCCCTGCTGCTGCTGCTGGTTCTTCTCAATTGTTTAAACACAAAGAAAAATTTCAACTCAAAAGCAGTACATGAAATAACATGAAATCAGGAAAGAGTGTGAAAGCCAGTGAAACATGATGATAGTGTTCTTCTAGTACTTACTTTGTCTCCTTTATCATCTGGTTCTTCTTCTGTTAAAAATTCCCGTTTTGGGTAAGGGATTTGACAACCTGCAAAAACACTGCCCCCCAAAAAAGTCTATTTATCACTGTATTAGAACAGAAGGGTTAGACCTCTAAGATTCATACTTCACCCATGCTAGTTTCAAATTGCCTGAGCCATCCCTTTCCCTGTCTTACTATCACCATAATCTAAACTTAGTAAAAACCTATTCACATTTGATTTTAATGTTCAGTTGACTCTTATACACTAACTTGAAGTCCCAGTAGATTTTTCACAGTTCCTGCTAACTGCTGGCTGAAAAGGTATGCCACCCATTAGGTATGTGCACAGGCAAAAAGAGCTATTTTAGTCCAGCTGTTCACAATCTCAGGAATAGCAAAAACAATCCTGGAAACTCCACTGACTATTAATAAAACCACCTGGAAAAAGGTTTAACTAGAAATGTCACCTGTCAATTCATATCTCGTGGTCCACATGGATTTGCTACTGCTAGTGCAAGTTAATATTTACCTGCCCTTAATCAGCAGAATGTATTTATAATGAAGTCTCTGTACACCTGTTAGCAATACTCATTGTGTATTCACATTAAAAGGCCAACCTAAACTTGAGAAAAAAAGACAAACGCTGTCCTAAAAGCAGTTTCTGCAACAGCCAGTCATTCACATGACTTTAAATCACGGAGAGGGGTCAGGAGATACTATAAATAATCCAGTAGGTTTTAGTGAAATAGTTTCATTTTTAATTAATTGCTTATAAATATACATATTTTACAAATTCTTCCCTAGATAAGGGTAGAGAATCACACATGGGATATAGTAATAGTTTTCCTAAAAAGGTGTATAATCTTCTCTCTGGCTAGTCTTTTGGGAGGGGGGCTTAATTTTTAATTAAATCATTCATTGTCCATAAATTTTCTCCCTTTTGTAAATCTGCCTGCGTAAACAAAATTGAGAAGTGTCTACAGAAAACGGCTTTAAATTGTTAAGGATGACAGCACAGAGACACAGAGTTGACTTTCCCCACCCACTGAATTTACAACAAAGGCTAAGACAGAAAAATGTAAACTAATTAGAGAATGTCATCTGGCATTCTAGAGCAGAGAAGTGGACCTGCGGCACTTAGCAGTTGTCTACCAAGATCTGTAGCATGCATAATAAACCTGTCAGTGAATAAGAAGATTAGTGCTGCAACTAATAGGATCATAGTTCCATAAAGCAAGAGATTAATAAAAATGCTATTTAATTTTAAAAACCACAAATGGCATTTAAGTGGTTTCTTCAGTTGTTAGACAGTAAGTATTTAGCTCAATATTCACAAACATATTTAGGGAAGAGAGAAAGCACACAGTTCCAAAGCACCTCTGAATGTACTGATAGATTAATAAACTGACCACTTACTCGGACGTGGGAAGAGGATCTTCCAAGAAATAGGGATCCTGCATAGCCTGTTCTGAGGTAATTCTCTTTATTGGATCCATAGTGAGCAATTTCTGAAGCTGCAAAAAATAAAAGATAAAAAGCTCTGCATTACCAAAACCATTTGCAGAAACTTTACTGTATTCCTGAAAGACAATACAAATGTGTCCGATCTCAAAAGCCTAACCATAAATGGCATAACTACATTCTTCTCTTCTGTTAAAATAGTAACTTCATTTCCTACGAAGAACACATTTTCACTTGCAAAGCCCAGGACACTCAGTTCCAGTCACAAATGTTGTATCGAAAACATTCAGAAACTTTCCATAATGTACTAGCAAGCTTTGATCATACAATAGTTTGGGCTGGAAGAGACCTTTCAAGATCATCTAGTCCAGCCCCCTGCAATAAGCAGGCACACCTTCTACTAGAACAGCTTGCTCAGAGCCCCATCCAGCCTGTCCTTAACATTTCCATGGACGGGGTATCCATAACTTCTCTAGGCAACAAGTTCTACTGCCTCACCACCCTCTGAGTAAAGATTTTCTTCCTAGTATCCAATCTAAATCTACCTCCTTTCAGTATAAAGCCATTACCTCTTGTCCTATCAAAAAAAGTCCCTCTCCAACTGTCTTGCAGGCCCCCTTCAGGTGCCTGCAAAGTACTACAAGGTCTCCCCAGAGCCTTATCTTCTCAAGGCTGAACAACCCCAACTCTCTAGACTGTCTTCATAGGAGAGATGCTCCAGCCCTCTGATTATCTCTATGGCCCTCCTCTGGACACAGCACTCCAGTAGGGGTCTCACGAATTAGGAATGACAGACCAGAGTGATTTTATTTAACTCTAGTGCTGAACTGCAGTGATGCATTCTAAAAGAAAGCTGCTTAAAAACTCTTGGGTCTGATCATCAGAGAAGGCAGAGCTTCCAATTACTTGAATAAAAGCCACACGGTCCTCAAACATTCAGGCCTCTTAACCATCTTCTCTTTTCTCCAATTTTATATATATACATATAATGTGTATATACAGTTTATTTTAGTGGCTTGAATGTTCTTTAAAAAACAGAGAAAAAGGCCCAATATAGTAATTTCTGAAACAACACAAAGCAGGCACTTCCAGAGCTGAGCAAGTGCATAACTTTAACTGGAGTCTTCATTAAAAAAAAGTAATACATTCTAGAAAGAAAATGATTGTTGTAAAGGTTCTACAAAGTATTCATAAGAAAGCTACAAAAGATTAGCGCACTGGGAAGACATATTAAAACTTTCCAAACTACATGTTCAAGTCTCAAGTAATTTTATTTTTAAGTCTAAGATACAAGCTTGTATCACAGAATCATCTCATAGAATGGTCTGGGTTGGAAGAGACCTTAAAGATCATCCAGTTCCAACCCCTCTGCTGTGGGCAGGGGCACCTTCCAGGTTGCTCAAAGTCCCATCCAACCTGGTCTTGAACACTTCCAGGGACGGGGCATCCACAACTTCTCTGTGCAACCTGTTCCAGTGCCTCACTACCCTCACAGTCAAGAATTTATTCCTAATATCCAATACCAAATCTACCCTCTTTCAGCTTAAATCCATTACCCCATGTCCTATCACTGCTTGCCCTTGCAAAAAGTCCTCCAGCCTTTCTACATGTGCCCCCTTTAAATACTGCTATAAAATCTCCCCAAAAGCTTAATAATGAATATGTAAAAAAATGAGGCATATAGGAACTTTTAAAAAGTAAAAATTAAGCTATTGAAAGTACGCAAAGCGGCAAAATGGCTAAGAGTTGCAGCAACACTGCAAATTTAATTGAGAGCTAAACATGACTTGAAGACCAAAAACTTTAAAATTACTGGATACTGAAGCTAATCCAGTGAATGACACAGAATAATTTTATCAATGTGGAACAATACAGTGACTTTGCAATTCTCAGACTGCAGAGTATCAGTTATTCCCAACTTTATATAAACTTAGTCACAGTGTACTTGACTCCAGCTCAACTCTTACTTTGAACAACTGTAACTGATAGGAGAGGTTTGATTTTTTTCGGTATGCATGAACTTACCAAGTGGAATGCCTTACTATCTGGTTTAACTTTATGTTTTTCCATATATTTGATAAGGCTGCAGTTGGTATACCTAAAAAAAGGAATAAAAGTGACACTTCCAATATGTAAATCATTGATAGCGCCAAACTTTCTTAGTAGCCACAAAACATATTAATAAAAACAGTTTAGTCTCCATTGCAAATTCACTAAGCAGGGAAAACCCACAACTACTAACACCAGAGATTGCTTAAAAATCAGACACTACCATAAAGGCATCTGTTTCCCTCATACACTTGTAAAAACACATCACATCCACACAAAAAGCACAGTTTTAACCCACATTCAGACAGCAAACTATCAATTGGATTTAAACTGCCTGTGGGCAATTTTACTACTATATTATTTAATTCTGTATATTTCCCAAGACAGTAAAGATGCAGATAAATACTAAACCCATCTGAACGCTGTCCTGCAACATACAGGTTGCTACAAGAAAATTCATGAACTTGTTTGAAGAGGAACTCAAAAATAAGGTTTCTAAATGGTTACAATAGCGTGGCAGATGCAAGAAATGTATGTAACTGTACAGCCCCAAATCCCTCAGCATGGAAATCAAGCAACAGGGTGGCATTTTAAGTGCAGGTATTAGATGCTGTCAATGTGACAGCAAAGCTGAAGGGTACTTTTTTTCTTTGGCCTTCATAAGCTACCCCAGACGCCAACTCTGAAAATTACACCCACTGTTTGCTGGAAACGGTATAAGGTTCCCAGACCCCTTTTATGCAGCTATTACAGAAAAATCATTTCCAGGACCACAGATTTGGGAACAGCTGTGACAAACTGTGCTTTGCCAACTTCCAAGCTATGTGGGGTCTTCCTGGCATCACCTGTTTCACATCTGCTACCTTACCATTTACAGGCTGTCTCTGGCTACCCTTCTAATTCGCCCCACCTCAACAGGCCAAGTTCACCACTACAAAACAACTTCATTTCTGATTTCACAATCTAAGTCATAACCAGTTCATAGTCCTTGTTTGCCATCTACATACAAAAGAACCTGAGCTACAAGAAATTTAGTGTAGGAGAGAGATATGTTTTCTTAAGAAAGCTCAACTCAGACTTACGTGTTTCTCCGGAAATCTTTCATTAAAGTTGAATGTTCAGGCATCTTTTTTATGTCTTCCCAATCTTTATCTGCAAAATCAGTATTAACTTTGGTTTTTCCCTTTTCCCCAAGTAAAATAAAGGGTTTTCAAGTATCTCCGCAGCCCCTTTTTTTTTTTCAGTCTGCTTCTCTAACCTTGCAGTTACTTATTTCTGTATATTCTTTGGCTCAGATTCCTTCATCACCTTTTCACAAAAAAACTTACCAACACCTAAGAGGTTCCAGCTGTGTGCTGATTAACTCAAGAACTTGAAAAAACAGATGCCAGCTACAGTGAAAATCACATACGCCCCAAACACAACACTGATGAAAAACACATCAGGCATTGTGCCTGAACCCTTCAAGACTGTTATTTAACTTATTTAGACACAGTTGTATCTCAGGACAGGAGTACATAAGACTACAGCAAACGCTGTCTTCTTCTAAAGGATTCTTCATTCTGACAGCTTTTAATTACAGGAAAATACCCAGAGGTGCTTGTGCAAAGTCCTGCTGTCTCAACTGAAAAGAAATCTGTTCGCAAACAAAAAGTTAAGAAAAAGTAAAATTTGCACACTCAAACTGACGATTATTTCATCTCATCTTCTCTGAAGCCAAGGCCAAAATGGATTTAAAAATTAAACAAAAACTTACTAGCAGCACCTAACCTCAAACATATTACAGTCTAACTCCTGAAAAAGCTCTGTGGGCAAGTAGTTTGGTTCAATTCAGATCTTTACTAAGACTGATCACAAATGAAGAACACTGAGATTAAAAGTATTGGGAGAATAAATAAATCAGAGATTAATTATTTAATTATTACTTAGTTAAACAAAATGTTCTCTTCTTTCCCAAAGACGTGAAACTATTTCAAATATAGCAAGTGTCAATTAAAAAGCAAAAAAATTGCTGCAATTAAATGAAAAATATTTCTTGGTAACAACTAAAGATCTTCAAAGGTCAAATGCAGACCATTGGAGAGGATTAATTAAACCAATCAGGGAACAGTAATAAGAGTATCATCTATTTATGTAAGCTATAGAAAATCAATGTAAAACCCAAAAGAAGTAAGAAAAGCATAAAAAGGTAAAATTCTAGACTAAAAGCAGAAAAGAACAGTGCTGCTTAAAGAAGCAAAACTAAGGAGGATTTTCCAGAAAATAAAAGCACACGATACGGAAAAGCAACATTTCCGGGAGTCTCAGAGTAGTACAGAAACAATGAAGTACATACACAGAAAAAGTCAAAGGGAAAAATAACAACATGTTTAATAACAAAATTCTAGAACCACACAAACATACAGACCACAGAATTCATGTGATAGAAAGAGGAAAATCCACAAGAACAGTAAAGAAAAACATTATTAACAGTGAATGGATAACAGCAGGGAACACAAGCAGTGAGAAAGATAACTAAAAAGTAAAAATAAGGCCCCTGTTATCCTGACATCTGCAATCATGTGAATCCTAGAAGACGAAGCATTAACTGAAGAGATGCAAGGCAGCCTGTAGAAATACAAGATATAACCAACACTGAGGGGAAAATGCAACAAGTGACATCCACCATTTGTTTTGGTTCATGCAACCAGTTTGTTCTTCTGGTTTGAAATAAAGAAATTTTCTCCACACCACAAGCTTTCTACCAGGGGAAAAAAAAATTAAATACCCTTCCTTACTTCCAAATGTTTATTTTAGCATAAAATATTTATGTTTAATTTAGCATAAGTTAAACAACTGCATAATATTCACTAAATGTATATATTTTGCTTTGTTTTGTGTAATTATCAGTTGCTTTCTAAATCTATAATCAGTACTGTTGAAATGCAGAAATACTCCTGATTTTTAATCATCCACCATTTAAACACAATCTTTTAATAAAATACTGATACCTGCATACACAAAGATAATCCTATCATTAATAATAGGGGAAATATATAATTTGACCATTAGATTCTATATTTATAACTAATGAAATAAAGACTGTGTTTGAACAGCTCTGTTGCTTTGATCAGCTGCCACCTTCATATGCAAAGAAAGCCATACAGATATCTTTCTTTGAAAAGTGGTGATAAAAAAATACAGTATGTACCTGCAGGAAATCCCATTACATTGAATATTCTGTCCAGCTGGTCATGGTGATAAGGATTACTAGTTTTGATATCTTCTTGTCGACAATGGAATATTGGCTCTGATGTTAGCAGCTCTGCAAATATACACCCTATGGCCCAAATATCTTTAAAGAAGGAGAACAGAAATTAAAAAGAAAAATCAAATTAATCTTTCCGAAAGCATCTGGGTGAGGCAGAATGTTAGGGTTTAGCTTATCAGAGATAAGGTTCCTCCACTGAAAATGTCAAGTTTCTACTGAAGAGATGCAACACTTCCTCAACTTTTTCTTTTAGCTACGGATGGAAATACATAATTCAGTAACTACATGGGAGCTGAGAGAGTATCATACAAGTTTTTCTGGGGTTTTTAAAGTGTAGTTACCATTAAACATTGTAAAAAAATTAATCTAGTTAAGAAAAACAGCAAAAGAAACTACTTGGGTATTTGCAGATGCATAAAACACAAAGAAAAGCTAAGCAGCATCTTGGTGCTTCACTGCCACACTGGCCTGGCCAAGAAGGGTGTCCTCGCTGATCAACCACTGAGTTTTATACTAAATGACCCAAAATATATAAGCTGAAAAGCCACAATATTAAAATAAACCAAATGCTATTTATAAAACCTTGCAGAAAGAGAGTAACAAGAAAATTTCTCCATGCTCACATACATCACCCTCTTTTTTTTGTAACATTCATTAAAATAAAACCCAAAACCTAGCTTCTACAGCTTTTATGTTTTCACTGTTGCATTCCAATCTTTAAATCAGATAGCCTGCATTTTCCCAGTTGTTTTATCGATTTTTTCTAGTATACACAAATGCAATTTTTAACTTAAAGTAATGCTACACTGAACCTTGAATAAACAAGAAAAGGTCATGAACAAGGACAAAAGCAAGTGATGCAGCGAACATAACCCCGTTAGTCAGTGTTTCTACACAGTTAGTTTTTATCTACACTGAAAAAATTATGTATTAAAGGCTATGACTGCCCATGCATTTTTCACATGCTGCAAGCAGAAGAAAGTACCAGTAAAGTGAGGGAACATGCAAACACAATAAATAAAGCAGTTTAAAGGAACATATAAAGAAATGTATTTGATCTATAAAAGAAACACAGTATTAACAGAGAAGTAAATGAAAATACATTTGAGGCATAAAGATTAGAATTTCTGACAAAAACATTGACACAAGCTCAAAAAAAAAAAAAGACTGAGTTCTGAGGAAAGAATTTCATGTTACAGAAATGACACAGTATGCTGACATACAACCTCCATGTCTGTGCAAACCAAGTGAAGCATTGCAGGGGAAGTTATTTCCCAAAAAATGGTTGCCAGGCTCTAGCATATCTTTTAAACCAGCCAGCAAGAGAAAAACTTCCCAATCCTTTTCTCTGCAGTCTCTCTCCCTTCCATAGCAAAGCTGTTCACTTTCAGTAAAGGTGAACCTCCCTCCAGCCTGCTGTTGGGTTGTTCCCTGTCCTACAGCCTCAGCACACAACGGCTCTGGCCATCTGTCATCCATCTTTGAAAAAGAGACACAGAGAGGCTGAAATGCAGCTTGATTTTACAGTTTAGTTTCAGTACAGCCAATATATTTTCCATTCTGTACATTGCTTATTTCATGTATTTATTACACTAGATAATAACCTCTGCAATAAAACTAATGCACTGTGCCTCACAGTCATCATAATATGAATTCTACTAGCAGTTTAAAGATACATCCATATTTTTATTTAACAGCATTTATGAAAGTCTTGTGTGAAAGCCACATAAACTTAGATTGTATTGCAGGGCATTTGGAACCAAAACCCAGAAATATTTCATTCCTATATATAGCCAGAGGCCACAGTAAACTAAACAACTTGTTAAAGATTAATATTTCTTCAAGAAGCAAATAACGTACCTTTAACTCAGCTACTGTCCTTTGAAATATTTATCAATACTTCAATATTTGGGTTCAGATTACATAAAGAACAAAATAGTCAGTTTTCGTCCAATTTACTTACCAATAGCTTTGGTATAATGCCTTGCTCCAAGAAGCAACTCTGGAGCTCGATACCAGAAGGTTACAACTACTGGATCCAAGTCTGCTAAAGGCTTCAGAGGTGAATTAAATAATCGGGCAAAGCCCATGTCAGCTGCAAAATTCAAAGAGAGGTGCTTTAAAATTTGAGGAAAACTACCAATTTTTTTTTTTTTAAACAAACTGATTGAGTTTACTTGTTAGCACTACCACCACTGCTAAATAAAGTGCAAACGCAGACTGTAGCAGATATGAACTCTGTGAGCAGATTTTTCTTAAAGCTTTTGGAGAAGTTACTGGATGGCATCATCTATAAAGTATATAATTATAAATCATTACTAAGCCATTTAGAATAAAGAATTAACCATTGTTCTGAAGAAGTGCATCAACTCACTTTTCAGGACACTGGTAAATCCTGACTCATTTTACTGATACTCTCTGGTAAAATACTCTGTTATTATAGGATGGTTCTTCAAAAAGCAGCAGTTTTTAAAGTGAGTAAAATGCAGGTTCTGCAAAGGTTAGAATGATTTATAATACATACATGCACATGACAAAAGCTCCCTCCTCATGAAGTTAGCTGTAGCAAGACTTCCTTCACACAAAAACAGCAACTAAGCCTACAGCATCTGCCTCCCTGCTGATTTTCTGTCAAGATGTATTTCCAGTATCAATATACCAGCACTGAATACCATTTAGGCTATAATTTTAAAATTCTGGTTGTGGGCACTATATCATTAAAAACTACTTTTTAGAATTGGTATTATAAAACTGCCTAGAAAGCTGTCTGAACTACCAAATATAAGTCTTACAGGCAAAAATGGGCAGAGACTAAAATACGCAGCTTCTCCCACCAGGTCTCTTTCCCAACCCACCACTTCCCAAACCCCAAGACAGAGGGACTCTGTGGTGCAGGGATATTCATATGCTGAGAAAGACTCAAATGAAATGAGATGAGTAGCCATTCCGAGGGAAAAGGACCCACATGAGGGAAAACTGTAGTGTAAATATGGGTCTAACTTGACTACAGAATTCTTAATTATTTTTCATATGCATTCCTATTTATGATTGTTTTAATGCATTTAAAAAGAGAAACATTTTACCATTTTCTACACTGAAATATCAATTACTCAAAATTGATAAAGTCACTAATAACTAGGAATAATAAGGAAAATTGTTGGCAGAAAGTGAATTTATGACTCAGAATGACACAAAAAGCCTATAAAATTATTTTAAGTTAAATCCCAGTTATGTATTTTTTAGAAAAATTAGTTACACTGGAAAAGTGGAAGCCCTTGGTATGGGTATAACTTCTGCATTCTTTTACTGCTGTGGCAATATCTTTAGAAAATAAGAAACAAAAATTCTACATTTTGATAACACACTTAGAAATCCAGGGTTCCCCTCCCTCTTCCCCCACTGGGAATGGATGGCTCAGAGGACTGGCGGCCCAATACAGAATCTTTCACCTGTCCATTAACAGAGTGACTTAATTTAGTTGTTTTCTAAGTTATTCCCAAATTAATTCAAAGTTATAAGTTAAGAAATAAATGGGTGGTCTACGTGAAATTACTAGCAAGCAGTTGTGTACAGCAATTATCGCCACCACTGTCAAAAGTGAACATGCCCAGAGGATGACCTACATTCTCTGTTTTGGAAGCAACTGCTCCATGAAGAATAAGGTAACATGAAGGAATTTTCCCTTCTGCTGTCCATGCTGTACCTGTTTTCTGTGCAGAAGACTTCAAACCCTACTGTCAACCTTAGAGCTTGGAAGGGCATTAAAAACTTTCAGGGTAGGATCTGCAGAAGCATTCAGCCCTAGCTCATCTGCTCCCTGAATTTCAAAGGGCAAGGGAAGGACTAGAGCAGCACTGAATGCTCCAAGAAAATCCTACCCTGAATCATTATACTAGTGATTAACAATATAGTTCAGATAAACAAAACACTAAGAGAACAGAGCAACAATGCAGAAGAATAATCTCATAAAAGAAAGCCAGAGGGAAGTGAAAAAGATGAACTAGCTTTAAAAAACGCTTCCAAACAGGGCTGCCTTACCATAACAAATGTAAGCAGGCTGTGCATTAAGCAGCCTGCTGTCACAGCACTGCCACGATAATGCACAGCCCGCTACAGTTTATTACTGTTAGACTACTGTTAATTTTTATTTACGTATTTAATTTAAAACAATTGAAGTTCTACAAATTATCCTCTCACTCTAAACACTAACTCCCACCACGAAATGTTACAATAGTGGGAAAGTACTGGGTCTTTCCTTCCCTGGTAAAACCCAGGTTGAGCATTTAGCAGTAGTTCTCACTAAGCATTTTGGGTGGATTACTGTGTTTTCTGAACTTTTAAGATCCCTTGTGTCTATCTCCAAGGGACCTGCCTGCTCTTTCAAGAATATTTTGTAGTCTAAATGACACCTTTGATTCCATTAAAAAACATTTAAGGTTTGTAGCAATGAGTAGTTCCCTATTTAGATTTTTATAAGTAGCAGCAAAGTAATGTCATGGCATTACAGAGGTAAATGGAGGAAATTTTAAAATCCCCTTTCTTTCTCCTCCTTTCCCCCTAGCTAGCTGTCATCTTTTATTCCCACATCAAAATCCCCCACCCCACACAAACACCCACTTAAACAAAATATAATGACATTTTCCATGTTTTATTGATGAGGCTACAGCATCTCATCGTCAGAACTGGTGCATGGGGCTAATATCATGAAGTCAGTCACTCAGAAAACAGCATTTAGGCAATGTGCCCAGGCACATACTAGTATTACAGTGACTACTTTAGGTGGTACAACTGCACTTTCAGAACATTCTAACTTAAATGCTACACTGGGACTTATCAAAGATATAAACATACCAATTTTTACTCTTCCTCGCTCAGGACCTTCACCCATAACTAAAATATTAGCAGGTTTCTGTGGAAAAAAAAATAAATATACAATACATATACCACGATAAACCTAAACATTAGTCTCTGAAAAGTTAGTTAAGGTTTGTTTTCCAGTTTTAAACCAACTTTGTTTTGATAAAAATGCCAAGTTTCTCTGTCCCGGTAAAGCTGTGCAAGGATCCAGACACAGGCTCTCCCTGACTGCATCTTCCTCGCGTTTCCTTTTGCCATTGCTGTGCTCCAGCATCATGTTCCCTCACTGACACCCTGGTGTCTGTCCTCAACCCGCATGAGCTGGCAGCTGCCAAGCTGCTGACATTTCTACCCAAATTGCCCTAGATCCTTTAGTGGGAGGCAGTACCACTGCTGTCCACCATCCCAGCACAGGGATGGGAAGCAGCTCTACAGCTGCCCAGGCTTATTAGGCACATTTGCAGACACATTTTACATAAAAAATATGCGAGATACAGATCAAACATTACCGTATCACTTAATATTGGAGAGAAAAATGATCTAATTATTCCTATTTACAAGTGTCCTATGTACAATTTACCAATTCACGCAGCTGCAAAACAGGAAAGCATTGCCTTTACATTATTTTTCTCTCCATCTTCTCTTTCTTTGTTTTACTATGGAGGTGAGTTAAAAAATTAAACTAGAGCTCAGCTGGTTTAAAACATAATTAACTCCATAATCCTGTATTTTCTGCTGTCCTGTTTCTCGTAATTTATTCTTGGTATCTGCAGTCAAAAGATTCCTCAAATGCTAATGTTTATATAATGAAACCTGCAGTGCTTATTTTGAGGGAAAAAAGTAAGGAAACTCACAACTAAAGCTGATAATCTATGCCAGACTTGCTCTCAAATAGAGTGATTTAGATATCCCTTCGTTCTATAAATCCTGGACAAAACAAGGGCTCCTATTCAGGTGTGACCTGTAAAAATTATAAGGCTGACTTACAGCTCTTGTTTTGCTTTCCAGTTTAAACTGATCTAAAGAAAAGAGTATTCCACCAAAACAGTTTAGACTACCTAAAAGTTAACATAATAAATCCCAATATCTTAGTGTGATTTACTGAACACATTCTAGGCAATTCCCAAGCCCTTCCTGAATCTATCAGGCTCTGTTGTAAACACATGCAAAGAGGCAAAAGATTTGATAAGTAATAAGTAATTCACATTGTGTAAAACAGGTACAAAAAATTAGTAATCCAGAAAAAAATTTCCTTGAGAAACATAATTACTGTTGTTTATGAAAGGCTCCAAAGTGGATTTCTGTAACTCTACAATCCGTGTACAAAATACGTAAAAGGAATCTGAGGTGTTGCATTTCTGAGAGCAGGTTAAAGATGGAAGAAAATATTATAGCTTGACTATGATCAAAAAAGGTAAGATATATCCCATTGTCTTCCAACAGCAGTAACAGATCCAACTTGTGCTATATTAAGCTCAGTGATTTGCAGAAGAAATTGTCCCCCATACCACCACCACCCTGTTTCTATTTTGTTTTTTAATAAAGGCATACATTCCAGGTAAGTACTGCTTCAACATCAAAAAAATGCAGTATGTGGGCACACAGCTCTCAAAGCACTCCATTTAGATTGTTTCCACAAAAGTTTTAGAAATAAACAAGCAGTGTACATTTTTAAATTCAGAGTTAATGCTGAACTTTGTAGCAATTCAATCCACTAGGTAAGAAACACACCATTTCACCACATAAGCCTTTCTATTGTTATACTGTGACTCAAAGAACAAAACCATACCTTTTACAAAATGTGCTTCAATATAAACGGGGTGCTAATAAGCTACATGCCTAATTAATAATTTTTGAGTAGAGTTAATGACACATTACACAGGCACTAAAATTTTTCAGATATATAATACATTGACCTAAAGTATCATTTTTCCCCCTGCAAATTCACGAGTTGATAATACTCTACAAAATGCTTGTAACATCCCCATGGTGTTTTCACCTTAAGATATTTTACTGTTTGGGTTTTGATAAGGACAAGGAGCCCTATTCACACAAAGGCTCCATTATACCAGATGACTAATCAACACAGCACTGGGTAACAATTCCTGCACCTAAGATCTTCTACCCTAAGTTCAAGGTAGGTAGAGATGAGAAGAGAAAGCACAATGAGATAAGACAGTACTGGTTAGCAAAGTAAGTATCAACACCCTGACTCACACTCAAGATTTCAGGAGTTTTACAATAGAGACAATTTAGAAATCCGTGTAGGAGTATACTAAAGCTGCAAAATGAAAAAACCCTCAGTTGTTCTGGAATAACCATTCACAGCAGTTCACCTTTTTTTCTACAGTCAAAGGTCCTTCACTTAAACAGCTCTGTTTGGAACAGAAGATTCTTCCTACAGACAAAAATATTTATATAGTCATATCACTGTAAAAATGCAGCATCACATTTAAAAAAAATAAATTTTAAATAAGATGCCTTATTAGGAAGGTTCCCATTTCTAATATCATTGCATGAGTAGCCTGGAACAACATTTTTGGTTGAAAGAATTTTCCAAACAAGACCATTCAATTTAAATGCACATATGCATTTTGAGGAATCCCTGAAAAACATTGAAGTCCACTAACAAAAGTCAATACACGGGTCAGGGATTCTTGTTAGGTATTTTATACTCTAATCTGCCATCTGGAGAAAAAAAAACAAAAAACAAACCAAAAAAACCAACAACTCACAGATTTTGGGCAACTCATTACAAAGTTATTTGCAAAGAAGAATAAGCAGAAAGAGAAGAGAGAAATCTGGATAAGCATTAGTTTAATTTGTTAATATTCAGTTACAATTTAATTATTCAGAAAAAATGAAAGCTGAAATAGCTTATTCAAATTACTTGGGCTGAACAAGTGAAGAAAAATCTTTCAGCAATTTTTATACTCTGTTCTGAAAACACAGTAAGACAGCTATCTTTTTTTTTATAACTACAAATAATCAACTTGAAGTCACTCATTTTTGTTCTAATAGAGGCATCTTTAGTTTTGCCATTAAGTAAAATAATTTGCTCATGCCAGACAAATACAAATGAAAAACCTATTATGATCGTAAACCAAATGTGAAAAGCCATGCAGCGATTTACAGCTGAGTAACTTCAGAGACTAACAAGTTTCTGGCAACCCCACAGAACTACACTTAAGAAAAATCACCCTTTCCCAAACCCCACCTCAACAGCAGGGGAAGAATTCATTCTCATAAATGAATTCCTGTGACCATAGCACAGCACTAAATCTTATCTGGCTTTGTAGGACGCTTTGTTGCGATACCTGGACAAATCCTAATCTTGTGCATTTAATCACTATTACTATTGATGAGAGAAAAAAGATCCTCACTGAATCATTTTCAGGTGCTTCTAATTTAATCATTATTTGCAAAGTGTAAAAAGAAATTCTAAGAAGCAAGCTAATTTCAAACAGAAGACATAAAAACCCACAGGCTACAGCAAGAACTTCAGGTAATCACCTTCACCCATCTTCCTGACCTGACACGATACCACTCTCTCTTCACTCTGATTCTGAAGTCCCTGGTGATGAAGGCTGCACAATTCCCAGGCAATCTATTCTCTTTCATTCTTCTCCACTGCAGTTTTTCCTTTCCTTCTCACACAACAGACAAGGTTACTCCCACTGCCTCTCCTACATCAGCAGAAGGAGCAGACAACCCCTACTTCACTGCAAGAACTTCTTACACTTCCCAAGACAAACCTCTCTCTTCAGTCCTATCACCTAGATAAAAAAAAAAAAAAACAAAAAACCACAAACTCTCACATGCTCCGTGTTTCCTAACTGGTTATTTTTTTCTGGATGTATGATCATTCTGGTGGATTCCCTCTAGCTGTTCTGCCTTGGGCCACCTATTTATTTCAACTCAAGTGCTTCAAATTACACACTGCTGAAGCTTCACTAATGCTAAATGCAGTGGAGGGATTGTTTTACATGCCTTGCACAGTATCTTCCACTTTATATGATCCTTATATGATTTTTGTATGAGTGAGGTATCCTGCCTCTCTCTATAAGACTATTGACTCATGTTAAGGTTACCAGCCATGCATTTTCTTCACATCTTTTCTGCAGGACTGCTACTTTGAACGAACATTGCAGTCACACACTGCTTCTTAACATACACTGAAAATGTTTGTGTACATTCACAGAGAGGAAACTCAAGACTTCAAAACTTACTTATCTGAATTTCTATTTTGGAGGTAAAAATGCAAACAAAATGAAAATTATACGTCTGTCTTGATGATATGTGACCAAAAAAACAAAAACAAAAAGAAAAAAAAAACTAAACAAACAAACAAACAAACAAAAACAGAAAAAAAAACCCACCAAAACCAAAAAAAAACCACCTCACCACCAAAACCAGCATTCCTGTTGCTCAGAGCAAGTTATTGATAGGAGCAGGAGATGATTATTTATTCTGTGTTTGCATACTAGATGTCTGGAAATCACAGAACATTGTCTCATGCTCCAGGAAAAGCACTCTGCTGCTGAGTCCTCCTCTCACTACACTTTACTCATCAAAGCAATGAGGAAAAATGCACGTTTTCAGACAGCTTAGCCATTGCGATCTTTGATTCTTTGTACTTTTAGCATCAAACCAGGTCTGCAGGAACTATTGATCTACATATTTTTGCTACTAGTCTGTTTCTAAAATCGCTAATTTTCAAAGACTGATTTTAAACATAGCTATTGGTGATTAATACAAATTCCTTTGAATTCTGTATTATGGTATTATTATAACGCAGATGCTACCTCCTCCCCATCCTTATTATTAACTCTTTGCAGCAGTCTATGCATATTTATGAACAGACTCATACTCTTTACACCTGCATTTTAATGCATCTTTTAATAAGGTTTTAGTATCATCCTTACTACTTTTCATTTGGATAATTCAATACTTAGGAGTTTGTCTACTAAAACATTACTCAGCAGAGGATTCACAGTGATGGGGTGAGTCACACCAGTGACTTTTGTTAATCACTGCTATTTGTGCGTCATT